AATAATTAAACCAATCCCCTTTCGATTGTCCTTTAATTGGAAAAAACTCCCCCTGCGCCCCCCAGGGCGCGGAAAAAGGAGGTGTGACAACCCTAGTTCAAGCAAATCACATAGCCAGACTTGGAGGAACCCCCAAATTATGGGGTTTCCACCATTAATCGAGTGCAAAGATGAGAGGGCAAGTAACTAAATCGAAACAGGTTCAGAGGTCTCAAAAAGAACTGAAACTTCTAACATGTTTCTTTCAGCAACAGAAACTCATGAGAAACATGATAGAAAAGTAACATGTAGAACACAGTAGAAGAGCTCAAAGAAAACAGAGTAAAAGAAATTAATTCGAAACATAATGGGAAAATTGATAGAACAGTAGGAGAAACATATTAAGAAGCTTTTTAGAAGAAGCTTAACCAGAACTCAATAGGTGGGACTTAATAAGAACACTTAAGAACATAATAATGGAAAATACAGTAGGATAAACACACAAGATCACAGTAGAGGAAAATACAGTAGAAAAAGCACACGAGAACACAGTATAGGAAAATACAGTAGAAGAAGTATACGAGAACACCGTAGAAGAAGCATACAAGAACACGGTAGAAGAAAATACAAGAACACAATAGAGGCAAATACACACAAAAAGAAAAAGAAAGTCAGAGAAACATTTAAATACTTTCAGAAAAATCCTAGGTCAGAAAAGAGATGATTTTGAAAGTAATTTTGAAAGAAAAGTCGGGAAAATCATTTTAAAAACTTAAGGAAAGCATGGATCTGGAACAGATCTAAGGAAATCAGAAAAACCTCAAAGGGTTAGGGTTTCCGAAGAACCCCAGTAGTGAGAAGGCTGGGAAAAGTTACTGATCTAAGCTGGAGAAGTCAAAACTAGGCTCGAAGCAGGCATGGCTCGCCGGAGCAGGCCAGAGATGGCCATAGATCTTGAATCAAACGAAGCATGGACCAAGCTTCTTCATGGTCAGGCCTTAAATCTTCGGAAATCAGGCGTGTGGGAGTCATAGGAGGCCGGTGTAGGACTCCGATGGCCTTGGAAGCCATGGATTCCGGTGGCTTTAGGGTGGAAGTGGTGGGAGGCGGCTAGGGTTTGAGAAGCTTCGAGAGAGTTTGAGAGAATGGGGGAGTTCAAAGGCGACTACCGGTGACAAATGATTAGGGTTGGGGGGTGTTGGTAAATTCAAAAGGAAAGGGAGAACGTGAGTCGTTGATCTGTTAGATCAACGACTAGGATTTAAAAGGGGACCTGGTGGGTTATTTTTAAAGGTTGTGGGTCGGATAATTTTGGAATTGGGCTTGGCAATTGAAATTGAAATTGGGTTGGATTAGGGGTGCCAAATCCGACCAAAATCAAAATAAAAATAGGCTAACATTTAAATAGCCTTTTTCTCTTAATTATTTTATAAAAAATTATAAGATAATTTCTGGAAATAAATTAAAGGTACTAAATTAATTAATGATATATAAATATTAGATAAAAAATACCGTAGCCAATTTTGTAATTACAAACGCAATTAAATCTTAAAGTAGGCTAATATTGCAATTATATGCAATTTAGCTTTTAAGAATACTAAATAAATTTTGTAAAAATGCGCAAAAATCATACTATCTATATTTTAGTATAAATATGAAAATTCAATAAATGAGTTACCAAAATGCTAATTTTGGGAACACTTATTGGGTTTTTCTTGATAAAATAGGGCAATAAAAATTGATTTTAAAATCTTTAAAAAATTGAGAAAAATAATAGGACCTTGGGACATACTTATATATGTATATACATGCCATTTTGAAAGGTATTTTGTATATGAAAATATACAGAGAAAAATTGGGTATCAACACCTTCTTCTTTTCGACGCTAGTGGGGACGGTTTTTCCAAGTTCCATTATCCTCCTTTTTCTCGATGGTGACTCCTCTCCGTTAGATGACTCATTTACAATGTGTACATATGCCAGGATGAGATCTCGTCCCGTACAACAACACTCCGAGGAGGGGAGTCCCTAGTTGACAAAGTTTGAGTACGACCTCCACAGGCGGACTCAGCCAAAGTAAATTGCATCCCTGCCGATGTAATGGCTTGGCGAAATGCTAGCACTGGACCTTTCCTTTTGGAAACTCATCGATCTGTCACCACAAAAAGGTCGTATCAACAAATAACAGCAAACAACAAAAGGCTGAAACAAAAGCAACACTTACTAGAGGGGACTTTGGTTCAAATCTTTGTAGAAAATCGCCCAATCTCGAATATCCGCCATGTGAGGTAACAAGCAAGCTACCGAGTCTTCAACACTGACGATGGAAAAGGGTGCACGCCTCTCAACTAAAAAAACAACATAAAGAAACCACAAATGAACGAAAAACAAAGGGACGAAAGAAGATAACAAGCGTATACCACCAACATCTACGATTATGATTCCACTGCTTGAGAAATCCAGTAGGGCCCGACACCAAGTGCTCGATTCTGATAAAGAAGTACTCGTGCCAAAACTTTCGATTCGTCCTATCGTCCATTCCAACTATCAGTCCTCTGGTCCCGCAATGTCGCAGGTGTATCATAGTGCCTCTATAAAACTTGGCAAAAACAAGTGTAATAGGTGGCGGATATCAATCTCGCAACCAGCCAACTCCGCATACTTTGTCAGCATCAGGAAAGCTTTATACAAATATGGAGACAGTTGTGCCGGGAAAATATTGTAAAATTGGTAGAATTCTTCCGCCAACGGAAGAAGAGGGAGAGTATAACCAATAAAGAAAGGGTAGACATAAAGGCGCAATACCCAGGTCGATGGACCTCCACGATGTCGCCACTAGCCGGAACCATCTCGACGTGAGAAAGGATATGATGTGTAGATCAGAGTTCAGCTATATGAGATGGCCCGGTCTCAGAGATCACCGGAACGGGAGCGGGAGCTGGTTCCTTATGGAAATCGCTTCTAAACAAGGGGTTTCTGGGAACTATCTTCTCTACAGTAGGAAAACTCTCACCCTCTTCAGCCACAAAATCCTCACCAGCGGAGGGATGAGCCATCGACAACGGAGTGACGTCAGAAACTTCATCATGAATGCGAAGGGTTTGTGACATCTTAACGATGAAAGTTGTGCTACTAAACCTAAAGAAAGAGGTGGTGACTGGGTAAGAAGGAGAGAAACGGAAATCGTTAATGCAAAGTTAATAATAGGAACTGGCAAAGAAGATCGAAAGAAAACAATGTTCAGGGAGAAGGATGGTAGAAACTTTTGAAAAACGAAACCCTCATCTATTTATAGGGATGGATGGCGCTAGAATTGAAGCAAAGGATTGTCAATGGCACCAAAACTAAAGCGACAGGCACGCAGACGCTGTCTCGGGAAGATGCATAATGATGACGTGCGTGGCTGTGACGTTACCCCATGGTAACCACACTAATCATGACTCCACTGGTTGTGTCGTTCTCTTGATCTTGGTCGACCGGGCTTGATTCAATGGCCAAATTCTCTCAAGACGAAGACATATGATGTCTGCTTATTAAGGACGTGCAGGGCCACGACCTCAACAAGCAGAGTCGTGCCCTAGTTGTATAGGTCCAAATTTGGTGACCATGGTAACGGACAAGTAAGACAAAGGGCGGGGTCGACCATGATATAACGACTGAAGGTCGTTCTCACAAGGGCTGGTGCCAAAGGCGAGCAACCGAGATGAGAGAGTAACGGTAGCATAGGTTCAGAAATGGACATAGAGAATATTCCTTTGGATATTCTTTATGATGTACTTTCTAGGATTTTTGGGAATTGTCCCTTATAAATAGGAAGAGATAGGGAACAAAAGGGGATCTTCTTTTTTGAACATGAACATACTGTAAAGGCTGACAAAAGAATATACGAAGAAGTTATCTTATTCAATAATTTATTCGAGCACACGTTGTTCAATCTTTATCCATAAATCCCAAGATTCCATATACATCTTGACTTCTCACTTTTTCACGTTGCAGATAGAGAAAAGGAGCATCCCAATCATAATAATTGGGTGGTAGATCCTTTCCCATTGCATTTATTGTCATTATTTACATTTATTACATATTATTGGTATCATATTTATTGTCAATTATAGTGCAATAAATCCGTTATTTAATACTTTTGAGCACTATTCGTTATACAAGTGCTTTATTTTATTCGGTCTAAAATTTATTAAGTTCAACTAAGAATTACCTTTTGATTTATTATTAATTGGTTTAACACTTATTTGCTCAAACACTAAGAAACCGCTTTATTAAAAAAACAAACTATCTTTTTAGTAGCAAATTAGCAGATTTAAAAAAGTTAAATTTTGGAATACATATACACGTACAGTCGTAAAGATCGGGTGGTCGAAAGAAAAAATATCCACCAAAAAAAAATTACTACTACTATGTACTTTTTACTCACCCTCCGTCTATCAAGCGAGAATCACGCGCGAGAGGGTGAGAGTGAGGATGACGTAAAAGTTTTTAGAAAAGAGATAGAGGTTAACGTGAATCCGAAAATTAAGAGTGGACCCGTGTGTTAGTTTTAATTAAAGACTTTACTCCTCCCTCTGTTGGGTTTCCATCAACATTCGCTTCTCCCTTTTATTCTTCCTTCTTCTCCACTCTCTCTTCTCCTTCTTCGATCTCTCTCTCCTTTCAATCCAAAATCACCTAAACAATTTACACACACTCACTCACACCATCGCCTCTCTCTATCTCCCTATAATACACACACTTATATTAACGGGTTGCAGATCGGAGCTTCTGGCAGATCCGATTCAATTCTATATTCCTTCTTTCTTTGGTAAGCTCTATCTCTCTCGTCAAAATCAGTGAAATTTACTCTCATTGTCAGCCCATTTGTAGTTTCAGCTCTTTTAATTTTTTAAACCCATTTTCGGTTTATAAGCTTTGTGACGCTGAGATTAAACCGGTGTTTTGGTTTCCGCATTNCGTGCTTCTTTGTTCCAAAAATCTGTTTTTTTTCGGCATTCTCAGCGTCTTTATATTGGATTTCGCGATTTTACAGAAATCAAGAAAAATTTGGATTCTAGGGTTAGGAAATATGACTATTTACACTATGTGTTTCCTTCGCACGCTCTACTGCGCTGCGCACAAGGAAAAAGATTATGTATTGAGCTATGCACATTATATAACTACTCGATAATTGTATTTTAACTTTGTTGGTGAATTTCGTGTCATAAAGGTTTGCCTTTGAGAAATTGCAAAAAGGTTATTAGTAGGAATTTGATGTTGTTTCTAAGTTCGCTGCTGTAACATTATGTCATCAGTGAAAGATTGTGCTTTTTTGCAATGAGAGGATTGCATTCCCTGTTTTATTGTGAGGATGGAAGAAGCAATATTTATCCTCCTTCATAGTTGTTAGTATAAAGTGCAAGGTTTTATGTTTCCTATGCAAAATCATTTGCTTATGTGGAGATTGCAGTCTGTGTTCTCACTAGCAAGGATTCTCCTTTCTTGTTCTTTTGCTTGTTATGGGGAAAAGAAGTCCAGCTCAAGATAGAGTTGAGTTTAATGGTTAATCTAGTTAAATTTTTCACATGCTTCAGAGTTTCTGTTTTTTCTTTTTGTTCTATGCAGTTCTTCACATGCATGTTCAGAGTACCTCAAGTTAAAGCTGTATTATATACCTCAAACTTTCTAAATGTTATGTTAATTATTTTGTACAATTCACTTGCTTGGAGTTTTGATTTTGACGCCACTTTTGGAACCTGAAGGCAGTGAACTAAAAAAAAAACTCTTTCATGTATTAAGCTGATTAGTAGTGAAGTTAATCATTTAGTTGAGAGAAGTTCAGCCACCTTTACTTGATGCTTGAATCTTGATGGTACTAAGGAATTCATATGCAGAATTAAAGAAATCAGCCTGTCATTAAATATTTTCCCTAAGGTTTTATGCAGAGTATGTATTATGTATCCATTCTCATTCTAAAAGAAGAGAGTATGAATTATGTAGCCAGAGGTGGTGAGGCATTAAGGCATGCTTTACCCATTCAAGTGCATGTGACTGTCACATAAATAAATTGCTGAAAAAGATAATGTTTTGAAAAACTTCTATAGCAAAATTGAGTAGAAATAAAAAAGTGATCGATTTCTTATATTCTCCCGTGTTGTTTCTTTGCCGTATTTTTCTGTAAGATGTTGAAGTTAGTTGTGGAAACAGAGGGAAATATGTGTTTGAGCCTTGGTTAGGAACCAAAAGTATTACCTGGTTTTTATGATTTTGGTTTTTTCCTGATCAAGAAAAGAACCATTACCTGGTTTTTATAACTGAACTATTCACTCACTTTACTAATAAAATAATAGCCATTGAGTTATGGTGGAAGATACTAAAATAATTTTAAGATGTGCTCTACTGGGTTGACACTGATGGGTTATGCTTAAAAAGCTTTACTTTTGGTCACCATTTCCCATCTTCTAGTTTACTAGGGACCTAATTTCTTGGAAATATGCTAATACCTGTGAATATTTTGAAGAATTTATTGTCGGTTACACAGATGTTAACTTTCTTAACTTCGTAACTTTAAACAATAACTATTGAGGTTAATGATGTTTGGGGCCTGTTTGTTAGTAAGACTTTCCATTTAGCCATCTGTTGGTGCGAGGTATCTTCCTTTTTGTTTTTGAGAAGGTAACATAATCTGCGAGGTATCAATTTTCCAAACTTCTTGACTATTGGCCAGTTTGGCCACTGGGTTGACTAATCAGTGTTACATTGATTACCAAGAAGGAAGAGCACAGCTGATTATTTTAGTCTTTTTAGAATGAATGAAGATGTTTTGATGGTTTAGCAACTCCAAATTACTCCTTGAAGGCTAATTGTATAGTTTTGTTATATAGTTGGAGTAACCTCTCCCCTATTAGCTCCCCCGAATTATTCTTGGATTTTGTTAGCTCCTTAGCCCTAGCATAGGACCATCTGTACAGAGCTAACATATCTTCTTTTGTATTAGCACCTGGACCGTGCTCTTTTGCATCTTCTTGATGCTTTTTATAATATCTCGTACCTCATAAAAAAATTATGATTTTAGGAGTAGCATAATAGGGTGCTTTTGTGCAGGGAGGGGGAATGGTTCGAGACAATGTCAATATGTTTCGGGGAATGAATGGATGTTATGATGCCAATGTTGGTCCTAGGAAATTGAAAACTTTGCACTGAGATGTTTTAACTTATATTGGTAACTAGCCCATATTGTAGTATTGTACTTAAAAAGAAGAAAAGTTGATGATAGCATATAGGAGTATCTCACTTAGGTTGTCTGTACACACAAATCACTATGCATCATCTGTCATTGCGGTATTTATTTATGTTCCATTTTTGTTACTTGTTGTAACCACCCTTCTACATGAGATCACGATGCATCCATCACCTGTCATTGCGGTATTTACTTATGTTCCATTTTTGTTACATGTTGTAACCACCCTTGTACATGGGACATCACTCTATGGTTAATAAAGTTATTCTCCGGTGATATACATATACAGAAATTGGTAAGTGAAACTGTCTATATATGCTTTTTGTTCCCCACATTTCAAAATCTAATTGATCTGAGCATCGGCTGAGTCTTAATTATATCTAAACTTTTTTTCATGAAGTAGTTTCTTTAGCTGTTGGTGTTTGATGGTTCTAGTGTAATGTTCCATTATGAAAATGTTTTGGTATTGGTTCTCTTAATTTGATGACTTGTTATTAATGGAAAAGGTGCTCTCCCAAATCTGTTCCAGATTCTTGCTGAAGTAGGCTCTTTGTGAAGCTTTTTGGATGACCGTGTATCGATATTTGGATAATGACTTCAAGTATGTTGGCAGGGGAGAAAAGGTAAAAAAAGTTTCTTTTTATGTAAACACCTTCTTTCTTGTTTATTTTTCACAAATGCCCCTTATATTGCTTTATATGAACTTTGTTTTCTGTTCCTTGTTAAGTACATGCCTCCCCCTATTTCTTTGTTTTGAAAAAAAAAACATTGAGGCCAAAATCGTACATCTACTATCTTATTCTCTCTGGTCCTCTTCTCCTGTTATGTAGGTTATGGACAAAATTAGACTGAAAATCCTTAAATAATACTCCCTCCGTTCCAATTTGATTGAACCTATTTGGTTGGGCACAGAGTTTAAGAAAAAAGAGAAGACTTTTGAAACTTGTGGTCTAAAATAATCCATAGATTTTAAAGTTAAATTGTTTCTAAATTTTGAAAGGGTTCATTCTTTTCGAAACTGACTAAAAAGAAAATAGGTTCATTCTTTTTGAAACGGAGAGAATATTCCTTTATATGACACTCTTTTCATTTTGTAACGTTCCAAAATGCCTAAGATCATCCCATTTTTATACAACTTTCACAAATTTTGATTCATTAAAATTATTAAAATCTTGAGTTTGATATAATGTTTTCACTGTCATATAACTTATCAACAATTACTTTTAGATTCTCTTAAACAATCACTAATTTAATATATGTCAAATTGGCATCTTAAACTTCATGCCTTGTCAAATAAAATGGTATGAATAGGGTAGTTCAATTGTCTAGAGTGGTTTTTGTATCGGAAAGATGTCACTTAAAGGCCACAATTGTGAAGGAAAATTTCAGATGTTAAGTTAAATATTCCATATGTGCTTAATATTGCGGACTGATAACATTGCTCTGTTGATAAAGTATTAAATATGCAAGGACAGAGTAAAAATGTGTAGACCAACCAACTTGAGGAGTTTCATATTCTCTTTTTTTGTGGCCGGAATTTACCTATCAAGTTTTGCATTCAAAAAGGCATAATTCTCTTTTACATAGATTCTTTTGCACAAGCTTTTTTCTCCCCCCCCAAAAAAAATAAATTCAATGTACTTTCTGCTAAAGTTTTTTTATTTGATAAGTTACTTTCTGCTAAAGTTGTCCAAACACTACACATTTTTTTGGGCAAACTATGATGCCTTGGTGGAGTAGGATCAAGTGAGAACTAACAATGGGCTCCAATGCAACATTTAATTGTTGTATAGATTGCTCAAAGAGTGATGCTTCAGCGGTGTGGCATTAGAGTTAGGAATATATTGGAGAGACCTTTTGTTGGGGTTGAGGATGAGAGTTAAAAAAATTCTGTTCTGATTTCTATGACAAATTAACCTTTTGGCATTTCTTAATATTGCTGTCTATTATGGTGTTATTAAATTGGTTAATGCTAATATTAGATCGTATTACATACATTGTAGTCAGTATTATGACATTGTCTTACTGGTGTGGTTGTATCATTTCCTTAAGTCATCCTGTAATTCCATCATTATAGGTGGGCTTCTACAAGAAGAGGTGGCATGACTGTTCTTGGAAAAGTGGCTGTCCCAAAACCATTGAACTTGCCCAGTCAGCGGTATGAGATATTGGCTGATCTATATTTTTCCTCATCTGATCTAAGCATATGTTTCTGAAGTTGTGTGTACTTAAATCTTTTGAAGGTTAGAGAATCACGGTTTGGACCCAAATGTTGAAATTGTTCCCAAGTGAGTACCTGTACTCTTTTTTCTTTTAGCCCCTTATATTTGTGTCTGCCTTGCCCATGGCATTGGCACTTGTGTGCGATACTTATTTGGGTTTGCCTGCCTTTTGGAGAGCTGTCTGGTATTTCCTTTGGCATTGTTTCTTTGTTGACTTGATCTAGGCCCTCTCCTACTTTGACATAGGGGTACATTGAGCTGGGGTAGCCGTACATCTTCCTCTACGTCAAACCCGTGGGGTTGCTCAACGCTCTCTCCAAATGCTGATTGTGGAACGAGCTCACCAAGTCATCTTAGATCCCGCCCTTCATCTGGTGGGAGTGGCACTCGACCTTCAACTGCTGGTAGTGATAGAACACAAGAACCTATTACCAGTGCATGGGGTACCAATTCTAGGCCTTCGTCAGCTTCCGGGCCATTATCATCAAACAAAGCACCATCAACGTTGGCACGTCCACACAGTGCAGAGACAAGGCCTGGCAGTTCGCAACTTTCACGTTTTGCTGAGCCTGTTTCTGAACATCCAGTAGCATGGGGAGCAACAGCTACAGCAGAGCGTTTGGTATGTAGTTTGTTGCTACTTAATGTTCCCTTGTGATGAATATCTTTTAGGTATTATTTTGCCAAATATCTTTTGTTCCTATTGTCCTTTCCCTGTAGTTTATTTTGTTTTTAGGGTGACAGTGAGAGCAAGAGGAGCGAGACAGTGAGCTTAACTCCTTTTTCACACTTGATTTTTTCATTTTATATCTGCAATCTAATAGTTAAAGGAGTTAATCAGTTGAAGTAAACAAGTGAGATGTTCTACAAGAAAATCACCATGCTTGTGTAAGAGTAGTATTTCGAGAAGAGCTCGTTCTATAATTGTGTACGGATATGTGGATGTTCTCTTCTCATTTCTTGTCAATTTATTCCTCTGTATTCTGCTGTTCTGTACAATGCGATTGTTAGAAGCTAAATGTTTTAAAATAAGGTATCTCTTTAAAAAATGAGAATTGTTGTTGGAATTTACTAATTTTTAAATGTTTGAAAAGTGGCTCAAGGTCTATCTTTTTAGCGAGGGGGCTTATCTTGATTGGAATGAAATTCATCTCTTTTCCTATGCTTTCTTTTTACAGTTTCTGCTCCCTCAAAATGTATCCCTTCCCCTCCCACTTCTGCTCCCCCTCTCTCTCTGTATATGTAAGAGAGAGATAAGTTTATGTGTCACTGTGCTGGATTTTGAGCTTACTTGTACTTACAGGGAGTGCTGTCTTCTAAGAATGAAGGATTTTCTCTGAGTTCTGGGGATTTTCCTACTCTTGGATCGGATAGAGATGTATCTGGGAAGACTACTGAGTCACAAGGTGACTGCTGGTCCTTTAAAATCTCCTACATAATGTCTTTCATTGGTTAATTGGATTAGTTTCTGTTCACCTCAATGGTGTAAATACTATCTGCTCACTCCATATTATACAATGCTTTGTGGAATCATTTCATGGTTCTCGCAATAGCTTTTGTCATTTCATCTTTACTAGTTTCAATGCCTGTTCGTGTACTTGGAGGCTAGAACTTGTGATTTTGCTGGCAATTAGTAAGGTTTAAGAATGGGACATGTTTGGCTTAAATATTCAAAATTTACTTTCTAGGGATGCTAAAATTGTAGTTGAACATTATTAATTCTTTTCTTTAAATGAATGCCCATCCGCAATAGCTTTTTTCATTTCATCTTTACTCGTTTCACTGCTTGTTCGTGTACTTGGAGGCTAGAACTTATGGTTTTGCTGGCAATTACTAAGATTTAACAAAGGGACATGTTTGGCTTAAATCTTCAAAATTTACTTTCTAGGGATGCTAAAATTGTAGTTGAACGTTATTAATTCTTTCATTTGTTCAATCCCCTCACTCCTTACAAAAACTATGCCTCGATCCCAATAATTCTCTCCCCCTAAACCCGAAAAAAGAAAAAAGAAAAAAAAGGAAAATATGAAAATTGTATATTCTGTTGCTGTTGCTGGAATGAAACTTTGCTGATTATTCTGTTGGTATTGCACTCTTAACTGGCCGCTTGGTCATGTTCTTTTGATAGATCGTGATTCTTGTAGCCGTCCTAGCTCTGCTTCTGGCAAAGTAGCACAGCCCCTAGAGAAGGCAACTGCATCTCATTCAGGTTTGCATATCTCGTTTGAAGCTATATCAAGTGATTCCTTTTTGTACTTAGTTGCAACAGAGTAGTCATGGAATATGCTTTCTGATGATGGTAAGGTAATTATACGAGTGCAGATGTGAAGGGTGAGACATTCGACGCATGGAAAAGAGATGGTCAAAGTGCTGAGGATGGTCCTCAATATGGCATGGAGAAATGGCAAGGGGATCCCCATCACTATCTTGGTCCTAATGTTCCACCCCATCATTTTGATGCATGGCATGGGCCTCCTATGAATGCTCCTGCAGGATTCTGGTATAGAGGACCACCTGGGGGGCCACCTTATGGAGCTCCAGTTCCTCCTGGTGGTTTCCCAATTGAACCATTCCCCTACTTTCGACCCCCGATTCCACCTCCTGCTATTGCAAATACACAGCCAGTTCCTCCTCCGGGGCCTGGATCCAGAGGGCACCATCCCAGAGGTGGAGATATGTATAGACCCCAGATTACCGATGCTTATA